CTACAGTACTGTTTACAGTAGCACACAAACACACTAACAGCGGCAAGTGTGCGCGCCCGTCGGTTCACTGCCGAGTTGTTGATTCCTATGTGCACACCCCCAGAAGCATCTCTCTCTCTCTCATTATTCCCCACCATGGAGGTGTTGAATCGTATACACATGCTCCATCACAGCAGCGTACTAACTAGCGATAGCCGCACGACCGCGTGTTAAATGTCTTGGAAATTCACTAGCGACGTGGTAAGTCATGATGTTTTTCTTTCCCGGCAGGTGTCCGGATGGAGGAAAATCCGCAACATGGTGCAGTGGTCGCCCTTCATCCAGTATTACAAGAAGCAGAAGTATCCGTGGGTGCAGCTTGCTGGACATCAAGGTAAAGTGGCCGCCCGGAGTTGCGACCCTTCGTGCTACCCTGTGCAAGCTGTCCTTCTGTCTATCAGAGCTAGCTGTCTGTCTGTTTGTCTGTCTGTCTGTCTGTCTATCTGTCTGTCTGTCTCTCTCTCTCTCTCGCTTTTTCTCTCTCTCTCTCTCTCTCGCTCTCTTCTCTCTCGCTCTCTTCTCTCTCTCTCTCACTCACTTACCTAGTCTTTCTCTCTCTCTTTCTGTGTGTGTATGTGTGTGTCGCTCTCTTATTCGGCAAACCTCCAACGAATCCGCTACTCTTCTTCATTCTTTCTATTCGCCTACATACACGCCCATATATATAATCCGTCGCACTTCGATCGCATTATTACTGATAAAGAACGATAATTGTGATTTCCTCACCTACTCTTTGACAGCTAGTACAACCCTCTCAAGAACGAATAATTTCGAACACGGCACTCCATAATCTTATTGACAATTTACACCCGTATTTTGTCTGGAGTAGGCATTCCCCGGTTTATTTATTTCAACCGTGACCAACTAGCTAGGATCCCATTATCAGAAACATCACAAACAACCGTGTTTATCATGAGTCTGAAGTTTCACAGTGTATACACGAGAATGGTCAAACATCACAACGAAAATTAGATGGGGCGTTGAAGTTGCGTGTCGTCGAGTGCGCGGTGTAAAAAACTAGTCAAACGTGTCTATTGTGTGCTTACGCGAAGATATGATCGATTTTCGAAGGTCGGCCGTTTGCCAACAACATCCAATATCGCTGAGTGCGTGTGTAATTTTAATCCGCATCTTCCGCGACCTGCTGTATTAGCATATACAGAGTATAGGCGGTACTAATACGACGTAAGACGTTATAATGTGTGCTGACGATGTTTCATCTGGGACCTGGCATGCATGCGCCTTCTGCTAGGATTGTCTCCCCCCTACACACACGCACATACACAGGTACGCACACACACACGCACGCACGCACGCGCACACACACACGCACGCGCACACACACACGAAAGAGAAGATGTGCCACTTGTTTGTGCCCGTCATCATGTAACCGATGAAAGGAAGCCACCACGCAGCTGACAAATGGACTGTCACATAATCCGTCAGAGAGCGCTACCAACACTGAGCAGGGGTCCGCTGTCACGCGCAGCGACAAAATGGGATATCTCACAGAGGCGCTACATGTGCAAACCACCAGGTGCTGCTAAAGCCCAGGTCCCGGCTGATAAGATGCGGCGGCCCGGCTAGACGGGCGGCTACAGGTGGGCAACCACCGAAGGTGCTGCTAAACCACGTCCGGCATGACAGATGCAGGCAGCCCGGTAGAGGGCGCTAGCAGTGCGCAACCACACAGGTGCTGCTAAACCACGTCCCCGGCTGACAGATGCGGCAGCCCGGCAGAGGGCGCTACAGTGCAACGACCAGGTGCTGCTAAACGACGTCCCGGCTGACAGATGCGCAGCCCGTAGAGGGGCGCTAACAGTGCAACGCTGACTCATGGTGCTGCTAAACGCACGTCCGACTAGACAGATGCGGCAAAGCCCGGTAGAGGCGGCTACAGTGCAACCACCAAGGTGCGGATGGCCTAACCAACTGTCGCTGACTGACAGATGCGGCAGCACCGTAAGAGGGCGCTACAAGTGGGCAAGCCAGCCAGGTGCTGCTAACGAGTCCTGACTGACAGATGCGGCAGGCCCGGTAGAGGGCGCTACAGTGGCAAAGGCCACCAAGGTGCTGGGCTAACGACGTTTCGCGGGCGACTGAGCAAGATGCGGGCGCCCGGTAGAGGGCGCTATCAGTTGCAACCACAAGGTGCTGCTAAACGCACGTCCGCGGCTGACAGATGGCGGCAGCCGGTAGAGGGCGCTACATGTGCAAGCCACGCAGGTGCTGCTAAACCCACGTCCCGGCAATGACAGATGCGGCAGCCCGTAGAGGGCGGCTACAGTGCAACCAACCCGCAGGTGCTGCTTAAAGCCAACGTCCCCAGATGGCATTAGCCCGTCCAGAGGGCGCCGCCCCGCTGCAGGCTCACCTTGATGCCTCAGATGGCGAAAGTCCGAGGAAGGCTGTGGAGCTGATGCTCTTCAACGCCACAGGACCATGTAGCGTGGCTTCGTCAGCTCCGTCGCTTGCGCGTGCTCGCTCCTCCGTCGCATCGTCAGGCAATCCACACTGTATCCATCTTCTGGCGCGTACATGTCCTGGCGGGGAGAGATGCGTGCGGTCAATCAATCAGAAATACCCGATGATAATAATATTAAAGCTTCGTTGCTAACTCAGCAGCTCACTGGCATCGAGTGGTTCGGCGAAATCGACTGTGCGAACCACACGCCAGGGTAGAAATGCAGTGGATTCTGCGTCCCAGCAGTGATGATGGCAGACTTCGATTCACGGCACGAATCTCAATAAATAACCGCACGTGGTTTGCACACTTGTTAGTAAAATGACTAGGATCATTCGTTCAAGCGAATATGCTACTGATCGAAGATTCTCAGATCGGTTTAGTTTAATGCAGACTAATTTGTATTGGCACCAGATATCCACCAATTATATCATCTTGGAAAGGTTCCTGCAATGAGACATATCAAGCAAGGTTGTGGTTTAACCTTTTTCCTGCATGATCGCATTATTGGCACACATGCACACGCCACTACAGTTTATATTGGATAAATAAAAAATTGATAACAAACTAAGTGTGATGTTTGAATTTGTCACAAATCTTATTAATCACGGTTAAGCATTCTATTTACCTGTACAGTAAGCAGTGTAGGCTTAGACATGATCAAACATCAGCCTTGAAAAATTATGGTGCAAAATCACAAGATACCCGACCCCTCAAAAAAAAAATTGCAGGGCAAGCCGATGCTAATCATCACGAATGTAAACAACCCCACTCAATGTTTTCATTTCTCCATTAGTAAAATAACTAATGAAGCCGTTAGGAAGTGCCTAGCGCAAAATCCAGATTTTTCAAGATTCGTTAGTTAATTTAGATTAAAATGTGCTGCACATTACTTGTTATGACTCATAAATCAATGCGTGATTGTAATATTTAAATAAACGAAACTAAGTTACTATCGAGTCTTATTACGCAAATAGAAAGGCAACTCCATGAGAAAAAGTAATATACAATACTCTTTTCTATTAAGCGGGAAATAATTATGTTACAATACACTACAAACGCACAAATGATATACAGCTCGCACAATTTTTTAAATCAGAACTCACTCAACTGCATACGCAATATCCAAACTTCTGAACCCGCTTCTAAAATTAATGATGAAAGACAATGTTCAAGTCGAATTTTCCGCTTGCCAATCAGGGAACAATAACGAAAGCAAATAAAACATAAAACCAACAATAGATATCCGCGCCTACCTTAAGCTTGACACCTACGGTATAAAGAGGATTAAGTGTCTCTAATCGAAACACAATGTCCAATATGCCACGATTTTTTGTCATCGACCAAGAGCTCGAAATAGGTACGCTCTGCTTTCTGACGTTATGTTAATGATGACCACTAGTAACAACGTTCGACCAGACCCGCACTGTTAGTGGACGATACAAACCTATTTAACGACTTTTAACACAAATTAAGTGTAAGCGCCCCCCCGTCAAACATAGGACTTTGCGGCGTGCACACATTTTTATATGTAGACTAATATTGTTTAGTTTCTCAGGGGTTTGACATGTAGCTATGACTCTACTATATTTTCATATGATGCCATTATATTTCTGTCTGTACACGAACGCAAATGCACAAATAAGCATATTGATCCTTGCAATGTTTTTGATAGTTTTTACATCAAGTAAATATCAATATCAATACTTACGTGACTTTGATTAATTTGTACGGACACCGGATCAAACACGTTTAGTCAAGGCAGATCAACAAGGTACTACACGGTCTACTGACTGAGCCCCTCCTGTTTCGTACAGCAGAACGACATGGGCGCAATTTATTACGCTCAAGAAACGAATGAAAATAACAAACTAAGCCTTCCAAGAAAAGAAGTAAAGGTTTTACATCGCATCAGTAACACACGTCACACCACGTAGACGTGCACACTTTGACTCGCGTCATTAATCACCCCGTCCAACACTCCGGACGGGTCCCTCCGACCATCCGCGCACGCGTACGGCCGACCAGCAAATGTACAAGTGCGTCGGCAAACTGCGAACACAAGCGCGAGAAAAAGTGCCCAACAAATGACAAAACTTGAAAAAAAAACCGCGCTCTTAACGGCGCGACCTGTGGCGATCATAACGCGCGTTTCTCAACGGCGCGCGCCTAGACACGACGCTCTGCCACGGCTTATGGCTTGTCTAAGCGGCGACAACCTCGCGTATCCCGCGGCGCTCTTACCACGCTCAATAGGGGGTTCTTTCCACGCGTCCTTCTACGTGTATCGCGACTGCACGGCGACCTCACAGGCGGTTTCTTACCGACGTTCTCACGGCGAACTATATAAGCTGGTCAGATTTCGGAAAATTTTAACTGTATAGTTGTGCGTTTGCTGAGGTAGAAACACGATGCCGAAGAAGCAAGCAGCCGCAGAGGCCGAGCGCCGTGGTCGTGCCGCACGACAGATTCGGCCATGAAACAAATCGCAGATGCGGATGAGACAGATCATGATCCTTCGGCCGTTGAAAATGTTTACCATTTTCGCAGCGTCTTCGCCACGCCGTGTTACTGCGGCGTGTACTGAGCGTTTTATGAGATGTTAACTGACCGCTTGTCTCACGACCTATGCAGTGACCCACCGGCGTTCTCACCGCGTTTGCCAGGTCAGAGTGCGCCGAACTTGGCGTTTGTTTTGAACCATGCTCGAAAAACAAACGCCTGTGACTGCGGCGGATGCAAATTGGCGACCAATGCGGCGACCACACGCCACGATGTCCTGGCGTTTCCACACACACCTTTAAATAACCACGCTTATGGCGATCCTGGCGGGCGCTCTGGCCCATTTTCCGTCGGCCGGTAGTCAGGCGCAGTAAGGACGCCAACCCACCCGGCGTACGGGGTATTTCGCGCGCATAGTAAAACTGCGTTACTCCATAGTACACAAAACTCGACAGCTCACATAAACAACCGAGGATAAATTTGCAAAGCTTCACAAACAACGGTAGATTACGCCGGCATCCAAGCTACAGCGCCTGGCGCCCCCCGCCTGCTGCCTCCCTTCACACTTCACCTTCCTCAGCTTGGGCTTCTCTCATCGACTTTGGCGAGCTACTCCTCAGTAGGTCGTAACCCGATCTTTACAGTCCATCACGCTGGGAAGTTGTGAAGCCAGCTAGCAGGTGCCTGCCATCTTACAGTATTCTGGTAATCATCCGGATGCGTCAAGGCGGCACATGTAATTCAGCGACGTTTACCATCAGCACACCATGAGTGCATTATAACCCACAGATACTGTAACCTCACGGATGCTGTATAACCAAGGATACGGTTCCAGCGGATATGTAGAACGAAATGATAGTGTAACGCCAACGGATATGCATGTAAAACCATGGATACTGTAAACGCGCATAGATACTGTAACGCAACGGATGCTGTAAACGCATAGGATTCTGTAAAAACCCACGGATGCTGTAAACGACGGGGCAAGTATACGGTTTACCAACTAGATATCTGTAAACGCAAAGGATAGTGTAACCGCATCAGATACTGTAATGCCCATGGATGCCCGTAAACCATAGATACTGTAACCCACCAGATACTGTAACCCAGCGATGCTGTAAACTAATGATACTGTAATACGCAAGGATACTGTAGGCCCATGGATTCTGTAACCACAAGAAAGTGTAACGCCATTGATTACTGTACCCACAGATGCCTCGTTAAGGATACTCTCAGTGATGAGGGGAGAGGGGGCCAAAGTACAAACCAGAAGGCCTCCTCTCGACCTTCCGGCCCTCCTCACCACCGCCATTGGTTTGTGTCAGGAAATGCATGGTCATAACAGGAACTGAAAATCATCTGCAAAAGACTTCAGGCGACTTTTCAAGGACATTTTATCAGAAATTAAGGACATTTTATCGGAACACATTATCGGAATTCATACACAGAACAAGATATACGCTGGATTAATTTAATAACGCCCATTCTTAAATCACTGTCACCGTCTAAAACTTACGCTGGGATTCACATTAATAAACCCTCTAAAACACTGTAACTTTCTACAACATACCTTGATTTACTGACTGATTTTACTGACTTACTGTAATTTGGTGATCATTAA